TCGGGAGGTGTTTGTATTGTTGAATGCTTTTTTTTTTTTTTTTTTTTTTTGCAAACAATTTGGTTTACAAACAGAGGCGTTTAGCAAAATTCTGTTTTTGTTTGCCAACTATGCATCAAGTGACAAACATGACCATGGCCATCTTTTCCAAAACTGTGGAACAATTAATTTTGTGAACTGAGGTACCATTGTATACAGCTCTATTCTTATAATATCTTCAAAATAAAAACAATCAGGGAAATGGAGAACATATAAATGGCTGTCAGGAATTAGGTGTGGGGAAGAGAAATTCTGTTTTTGTTTGCCAACTATGCATCAAGTGACAAACATGACCATGGCCATCTTTTCCAAAACTGTGGAACAATTAATTTTGTGAACTGAGGTACCATTGTATACAGCTCTATTCTTATAATATCTTCAAAATAAAAACAATCAGGGAAATGGAGAACATATAAATGGCTGTCAGGAATTAGGTGTGGGGAAGAGAGGAAGTGAAAATAAAAGAGTATCATGAAGAACTTTCACTGTAGTGATGGCACAGATTTGTCTCTTGCTCATGTTGGCAGTGGTGGTTATACAAATCTTCTATTGTGCCAATTATTTTTCTGGTTTTGTCAATGTATTATAGTAATGGAAAATGTCAGGAATGGGAGTAGCTGGGTGATGGATACACGGAACCTGTGTTTTTTGTAACTGCTTGTGATGGTCTATTTCAAAATAAAAAGTTAAAAATTGATAATTCAGGTTTTGGAAAACTTTTAAGTATATCTAGAACGACAAATATGTGAATCTACATTTTCAATTGTAAATTTTACAAAATCATAATATAGATCCAGCATTTGTGGTGAAAATTTATCATCTAAAGTGAGAAATGCTACAAATTTTAAAATACACACCTGATTTCAAGGCTCTCATATAAAAATGTAAAAGTAGTAGTAATTTTTATGGTAATTACATGTTGAAGGGAAAGAATAATAGCCATATTGGGTTAAATACAATACACTATTAAAATAAGTTCACTGCTTTTTTACTTTTTAAATGTGGCTACTAGAAAATTAAAACTTAGTATGTGATACACATTATATTTCTATTGGACAATGCTATTCCAAGTTAGCGCAAAGTTTAAAAACATAGGAAGTATCACCCCTAGGTTAGGGGAAAATGGGTCTCCTCTTTATAATTATTCAAACTTGGGTAAAGGGCTCTGTGAAACTAAAACTTATACTTCTGAAAAGGGGGCACCTACCAGCTTGGTGCTAAAATCTATGAGTTTGAGGAAGGTACCTGTGATGCTGGCACCCAGTCTTCTAAGGGA